GCCTCCTTTCATTCCTTTATTCCCACAAAACAACGTGCTACTTCCCGGGCCCCAACGCCTTTCCTATCCAGCCCGCGCACCGAGGATGCCTCCCCGCACCACCCAGTCCCCATCACCCATCTCCTGCGTCCAAGAGGCCAGAGCGGCAGACACGGGTCTGAAGGGTGCTGAAGTGGTTTGATTTTCTGAAATATCGGAGCATTCCTAGAGGGGACTGCTCAGCTCAACTGACCCTCCCACCTGCGCTGCCGCGGGAGCTCTGTCCACAGGAAGCTATATGTGGGAAAACAGAAGCCAAAGAGAGGTAGAAGCATGAGMTAGTCAATGCCCCTGAACATCTAGGGTTTCATAGAGAAACAGGATGCAGGGACAGCACACAAGCCCATTCAGAGCTGCCAACCTGCTGTCCTAGTAAGATTCAGGTTGGATCTTACTGAAAGACCAGTGACAGTGAAAGACCACTGGCAAATTACCCTTCAAAACCATAAGGTCTGCYTGACAAAAAGCCTCAGCTTCCTAGCAAAGCTTGTAAGATTTGAGGCAGGAAGGAAGGGCTGGGAAGAAGGGATCACCCTGGATGGCTCCCATGCTGAATCCGCCAGGGGCATAAAAGGGGCAGGCAAAGGGCAGGGAGTTGTTTGACTTTCTGGGCAGGGAGATGCTCTCCCTATCCAAGAAACTCTGTTCTTCCATGGGAAAAGCAGCTGGATCCCATGACAGACTAACAACAGACCAAAGGCAGGAAATGAGCGACTCGACTTGCTCTGAATTCTTGCATTTGCAGCAGTCATGTTCCTGCAAGCCTGCTGGCTAAGTCTATGGAGACCCTTGTCACCACAAGGAGCTGTTTCTCCCCCATACGGCCTGTGCCACAGTTTATCCTCCTGAATTCAACTAACGTAAAGATAAAAAAAGAAATATGTTGGGATCCCCACGTGYCCATGTCTCCCTGAAGCTCCAACACCCAAGCCCTCTGCTCTCCTGCTCCTCCAGAGCGAAGCCCACAGCCTGTGGCCTTTGCTCACAGGCTTCCTAGGATCCATCTTCCTCCCCTTTGCTCTCTGTCTCTCCCATTTACTGTCTTCTCCGCTCTTGTGGACACTGAATGCTCCTTGTTACACTGGCATCTGGCCTAGACTTGGTATCTGCTTGTTACACACGGTACAAGAACAATTTGTAGGAAAGGTAGTAGAGCCTGAGGAAAAAGCGGATAAGGTACAAGCAAGCAGACAGGCGGTGGCTGAAAATACAAGAAAATATTCTTAACTGTAATAGCTTAAAAAGTGAACAACTTGCAGTTAAAATACAAGAGATGCATAAGCAGCACTGTTGGAACAAAGAAGGATTAGCAGAACGCCAGGTTAGGCTAAAAACACAACTCACCATTTTTTTTTTTGCCATTTTTTCTAGACAGCTCCTTTCCCTCTTGCCCATCATGGGAACACCTGCACCCACCAYAGTAAACCTCCTGTTCCTCTGCCATTCACAGTAATGGGGCAACATAAACCATTAATTCAGCATCCCCTGTGCAAGAGACACCTTCAGACACAGCAGCTCTTCCCAGCTCTTCACCCTGTTCCCTGCGGTGCTGCTCAAAGCAGTTTCCTGAGAGCATTTACCCTTCCTGTGTGATTTAAATCTTCCACTTGGGAAAACTTCTCCAGTTCATACAGCGTTGGAAAAAAGTTAAAGGGAAATATGTGAAATATTGCTGACCACCGCACTCCGAAACGTATAGCTCAGGGAACTTCCAGAAAGAACTGCTATACTTTGAATTTATGAACCAGCTCCCAATGTTGCTTCAGCAAACAAAAGAACATATAAATAGAAATAAGGTTTTGAAAAGGAACTGGTGTTGTCGGCAATAAGCCAAAGTGGCCTTCTTGGCAAGCAATGGAAGAGACAAAGGATGGCTATAGGGTAAATGCTGTTATTGCATCTGAGACAATTAGCATTTTATAAACACAAGAAAGGTACATCAACATATATATTGGGTTCTATCTTCTGGTCTTTCACAGGCTTCTTATTTACTTGTTTGAATACAAGGCCACAGAGGTTTTTATTTTCACTTTGGGCTTTTAACTACTAAGTAGCAATATAAACTATTTCATATGTAAATTCGTTTTATAGGCTTGATTTTATGACTAGCAAGGAGCGAGTCTGGTCAACTTAACACCCAAGAATGCAGCCAGAAGCTACTCACTGTTAGCAGAGCTGGCATCTTCCACCGCGTCCTCAAAACTCACCCCGCCTCCCAAGCGGACCTCTCAAACATAACCCAGGATGTTGGTGGATTTCTGTCTTAATAGATACGGCAGCTCAGTTACTGAGGCCGAGTTTTGGCACTCTCTCCTAACCAAAGCTACTCCAGGCTCTCTTGCTCCACACCAAAAAGCTCCACACCATGCTGAGCAGGACAAGCTGCTGCTGATAATGCGGTCTCACAGAGGCAGGACCACAAACTTGCTTTACCRTACTAACGGACTCGAGTCCTCACCAAAAGAGACCACCTAGTCTCTTTGCTGACGCATGCATGGCCATGAAGAACATTAGATTAAAAGCTTACAGGTAACAAAYGGCTTTGGTAAACTAAAGGCAATCTAAACTAAATGCCATTCTTAGGTGTTCCTCTCCCATGAGCAACCAGACTCTTAATAAAGTGGTTTGCCTGAGCTAAGCTCAGCTCCACAGTTAGGTCTTTAGGCCTCCCACAGAGTGATGCAAGGTTTAAGGACTGTAAACAACCCACTGAATAAAGCCAAGAAATACAGCTCCAAACCAAGAATATGAAATAGTGAGGAATAGGTTTCTATTTATGGTCCCAGCCTGGGAGAGATGGAATGGAAGGAGACTGCAGAACATCATCACATCATGAAGAGCCCACATCATCTTTAAAAAAAAAGTGTCATGCCAAAGTGATAGCACCTTGCCTCCATCATGAGAATACTTTCTGAATCATAGACYCACAGAATGCTTAAGGTTGGAAGGGACCTCAGAGGTCATCGAGTCCAACCCCCCTGCTCACGCAGGGTCACCCAGAGCACGGGGCACAGGGCTGCATCCAAGCGGGTTGTAAAGATCTCCAGAGAAGGAGACTCCACAACCTCTCCGGGCAGCCTGTTCCAGGGCTCTGGCACCCTCACTGTTAAGAATTTTTCCTTAAGTTCCTGTGGAACTTTTGGTGCCTCGGCTTGTGGCCGTTTCCTCTAGTCCTGTCGCTGTCCACCACTGAAAAGAGGCCGCCCCCTCCTCCTCACTGCCTCCCTTGAGGTATCTATAGACACTGATCAGGTCCCCCCTCAGCCTCCTCTTCTCCAGGCTGAACAGGCCCAGCTCYCTCAGCCTTTGAAAGAGAAAAGGCTAATAAAAGTGATCTTTGGTTATGGAGATTAAACTGTATGAGAACCTAAAAGCTCTCCCTAGTGCTCTTCATTTAGGAATAGATTTACTCTGAAACCTAGAACACCAACACATAAGGTTATTTCCTGGTAGTTATTTCATGAAGTGGTGGTTCCTAGCCTGGAGGACATGGTTTTGCCTAGCTTGATATAAAATCCAAGCGAAGACAAGAAAGATTTAGTATCACTAAAGTTAAATGTTGGAAGSAGTCAGATGATCTCAACAAATTAAAACAACGTGTGAAAAATTTGGGAGCTTATCTTTGTCTACCTGAGTTATACACAAGGTTAGTTACAGAAGATAAGGAGCAAAACCAACCCTCCCCTTCTGAACTCACAGAAGTTGAATGAAGGAATTGCTGCCTTTTCACCAGTCCTAATTATTCCTGCCCTTTGCTAATGCCATCAAACACTTAACGGCGCCCTGAGCCTGTTCCCTTGTTCAGATGCAACCGACATACGTATGTTATTTTTCCCCAATATCCACCTAATACAACAATTCATGGTTTTTCCACACAGGAAAATTAATATAATTAAAATAATACACAAAKGGCTTTTAGAATGACAAGCTAGAAGCTACCTATTTTTAAAAATCCTGATAACTGTATCAAAATATCTGCTACCTTAAATATTAGTGCTTAGCTCTGTCGCTATAAATAGTTGGTATCTAGACACAAGTAGAGGACCATCAGCTCAGGATGGCCTGTTACATACCTCGCTCCATGGAGTACGGAGGTGGTGAAGCTCCCATCTTTGCTGCTTTGAATCCTACCTATAATTCTGCTTTCCCACAGGAGAGTTTTGGGRAAAGGAGTGCTAGGAAGGGGCCCAATGACTTCCAGGTAACTGGTGAACTGCACAGAAGATCAAAAAACCACTGGAGCCTACCACAACTGAGGAAGAAAGTCAAGTAGACTTTGAACATCTGCATGTGAAGGGTGAGGAGGATTAGATCAGCCTGTCCTCCTCCAGGAAAGGCGTGTTGGCCAAACATCACGGCAGCTTACAACAAGTCTCCTTTTAATCAGTGCTGTGGGAAGGAGAAGCTGCTTCATGTGGACAACGCTTTGCTCCAACAGAATTCCTGGTGAGCCATGAACACCACTTCACTCGAGGTCAACTCGCTGTCTACTTCCAGCAGGTCGATCACGTAGCTGTTTACTGGTGCAGTGCTGGCCAGAGCAAACGAACACCTGCAGTGAGAGCCCTTGCAAAAACCCCGCTTGAAAAATCACTGCTCAGTCAAGCCCTAAGCAGCCTGGAAATCCCTACACTGGCAAAGCATAACCCGTAACGGGCCATCTTGCAGTTACTGATGATGCCTTAGAAATAACCTGACATGYATGTGCAAGTTGCTCTCCAAGTGACACAGTGAACTCTTACTACAACTCCTCTTTTCCAAGTGACATAGTTACTCCTCACCGTAAGTCCTCTCCTTGGACTCAGCAGTTGGCACAACCACTGCATCAACCTGCTTCTCAGCTGGCTTTTTCAATTTTATGCTTAGCCTTTCTAGTAGAGGAGAAAACTCAGAGAGAGAGGTGGAATCTAACTCACTGATCTCTAATTTCCGTAGTCTAAGTCAGACAAGCAGCCCAAATTTGAGTGCAAATACTGTAACTTAATGCCCATGTTAATGATGGAAGAGGCAACACTTTTGCTTACCTTCTGGAGGATATTTGGTGGGCAGAGCTCACCAGGTGAGCTGGTGCAGCCTCAGTTTCCAGTACATGAGTCTAACGCATTTATTTTTCTAAAGCAGTCCTGAAACACTTGTCAGCACAGATGCAACTTCTCAGCTCCATCCACCCACACTGAATATGCAGCAACTGCCAAAGCTACACACACAGTCTGAAGGACTTCTGGTTTTCAATAAATAAATAAATAAATAAATAAATAAGCCTAGCTAAAATAAAACAAAAAATTGCCAGCTGCTTTTGTTAGCGATGAAAAGCAAATATGCTTTTCAAGCCATTATCCACAGCCATTTTCTTCGCTTGGACAAAGATGAATTTCCCTTTGTTAAAATATTTATTTGATTTGGCTAAAACTCTTGATCTTGCCTGCTTGAAATACACGTGCCTTAAAATAAAGTAGTGTTTCCTTTTATCCAAGAAAAGCCCAGCTTCAGTGTGAATTCTTGCCCCAAAATTGCAGGTCAACTTAACTTCGGAACCACAGAAAAGTTTTAAAATAGAGGTTCTTGTTAGATGCACAGCCCCTGTCGCTCAGTGTAGCCCTGATTTGAAGCAGTCTCCGCTGTCGGCCCCTCCTTGGTCCTAGAGGCTGTCACGGGCAGCAGGGTCCATCTCYAGAGGTCCCTTCCAACCTCAACCACGCTGTGAACCTGTGACACATGAAGTCAGAAAACTACATCCCTTGCACCACACTTAGTCCCTGGCTGCTGTGCCGCTTGTGCCACTCTGTCACCTTCCACAAATGGACACTGAATTTCCCACCGTTTCCTCAAGCAGTCCTTGCTCAATACTGCCAGATCCTCCTGCACTTCTCCAGTCAACTCTTGTCTCTGCCGTCTTGAACAACCTGGCATTACCAGCCACTCTACTACCTTGCTACTCAATTTCTGCCTTTTCGCACCATTTGTGCGAAACAAATGCAGCTTTTAAGGAGAAAATAAGTGATTCAAAGATAAAAAAAAAAAAAAAAAGCTAGAAATACAGAAGATGTCTTTTCTATTCGACTTTCTATTTGACAGCTACTCTATTTCTAGCACCTCTTCTCCCAGCAAAAGCACAAAAGCCATTCCAGAAAGTTAGGCACTACAGTCAGTGCTTAGTGCGGTGTATGACCGGGTTTAATCATCAGATATTACTATACCTCTGGTGAGAAGCATGGAAATGAAGACAAAATGACTTCATAGGCAACTGTGGAACTAGAAGACTAAAGAAGGTGTAACTGGCCCTGGGGAGACACAGGGCAGGAGATGGGAACCCTCAGCATGTGCCAATGCAAGCACAGCAGAAGCATCCTGCACATCAAGGTTTTTTCTACTCACTTGGTTTCTGGGCAGTAAACAGAAATAACCAAAAAATATAATGCTGAGGGAGTGACTTAATTCTCCAGAACAAGCAGTCCCCATCGGACTGGGTTAAGGACCAGCACTTCACAAAGCAGAGGCTAYGCAGAAAACACTGCATGAGCCGTTGCTCAGGCTAGGGAGGAGCCCTTGCACCAGGTGACAACCTACATTTTCCTGCATGAAGCACAGAGCTGGTTACAAGACAGTCCRATGCACAAACAGTAAACATCAGGAAGAAGTCAGAAAATCCATATTTATCTAATAATGTGTCAAAAGACAAACCGCCCCAAGCTCAAGATTTCTGCCAGCTTGCAGCAATGACCCGCCYGTTACTGCAGCTTGCTCTGCTGCAACCCTGAAACCGTTCGCTGAAAGCAGATGTAGGGATTCATCCGACAGAGAGGGGAACTTTGAGGAGAACCTCACTAAAAAATGGTTTTACTTTGACACAGTCAGAGCATAAGCCCTGCTGCTAGTTACCTAAGGAGCCCTCGTGCCACCGAGCCCCGGCTGGGCTGAGACACCTCCGCTGCGGGCAGCGCTCGTGGCRGGACGAGCGGGGTGCCTGGGCAAGCAGCCACGCTGCTCTCAGCTGAAAGCCTCTGTGGCCACCTCTGCCTCTGGGTGCTGCCTCCTCCAGTGTTTATTTTACTCTATTTACTATATATATTCCAAGGGAGGAAGGAAGAGGGAAAGGGCTCCCCTTCCCACTGGGAGGTCCCACACTGCTGCTCACTCAGCAGCCCATTTCCTCCTGCTCTGTAAAGCAAAGGTTAGTTTTTAAATTGCATCCATTTATAGCACACATTTCTGTGGGGTTTGCTGAGGAAGGTAATGTGCCTTCCTATAGAGCACATAGCAGCAAAATCCACGTCCAAACCGAAGAGGGTTTATCAAGGGATGACAAGTAGGTATATTTGGAAAATGTCATTTGAGTTGTTTCAGATCATCATTGATACATGAAGTGCAAGAACAAAACAGGAAATGTGACTTTTTATAAGTCATACAAAGAAAGAGAAATCATTAAACTAATCATACTGTTCACAGAAGTACTTATAGCCTATAGGAGAAATCATACTGGCATTCTCTAGAAAGGATGGGGGAATTAATGAGGTGCAATATGACTTGATCAAACTTAGAAAGCAAGATCTCTGACAAGTGATCAATAAGTTAGATCAATATGACTTGACCTAACTTAGAAAGCAAGATCTCTGACAAGTGACTTTTGCCAGTTGTGCCCTGCAGCTTGTGTCGGTTTTACTCATCTCCTTCACTTCTCAATTTAGGAGTGACATTTTGCAAATGTTAATGGAGCTTGAGGCCAGCTAGGGCTAGTTCCAGAAGGGAACTTGCTTGAAGCAGCCCTTCATTTTCTGGTTTGAGACTTAAACTGAGACTTCCTTCCCTATTTGAGTGCCCCACATCATTCCTGCTGTGTCCCAGGGGCAGGAAGGCATTCCCAGCTGTTGCTTGCCTCGAGTGGTTGCCAGGACAGGTGACTGCCTGGATTACACGGAGCAATATCGCATCCCGGCAGGAACCAGCCACGCTCAGTGCTCCCAGTGGGATCAGGGTTGCTACGCCCTGATATCAACATGCCAGGTGCAGCCTCAAAATCTGGAATTCCAGGACAATGTGCTGGCCAGGGCATGTGCGCTGCAAGGGCTGCTTGCAACAGTCACCCTCTCTCTCGATCCTCTTCTGTGCAAGCCCATTCCAAACCAGCTACGGGCACATCTGAAATTACGGTGAACTTACAACTCCTTTCTAGCTTAACCTACAAAGAGGTGAGGCAGAATTCTGCATTCTGTGTCTCACCCAGGCGACAGAAACTAGAACAATTCTGCCTTTGGTATCCAGCTCCACTGACACTCCTAGTACTTGCAGCACCTACCTGAGACAATGACGGAATTTCTGTGTTCTCAAAAACAGCTGCAGGTACCCTTGATGCAGGGGGTGAAATCAAACACTCCCACCCCATGCAGATATCACTTCCAACTAAGCACTATCAGTCTCTGAGTGTCCTCGTTTCTGAGGACACCTTACTTTGTGTTACTGGCAGACACTAAAATGCTGCAGCTGCTGCATCATGAGCCTAAACCTCCTTCTTTAGGGCATGCTTTACTGGCTGTCCATGATGCAGCCACATCCCACTCACCGTGCAAAGCTTTGTGAAAAAGGAGCTTCACAGAGCACCCCTGTGGTTAGCATAAGCTGTGCCTCAGCAATCGTATCTCAGGAGCAAACGCAGCACACCAGGCAGACACAACTGTCTTGAGACCAAAAGCTGCTGCACACAGTAGGCTTGAAGGGAGTCTTTGAGCTTAGAAAGAGTTTTAAAGATAGGAAGTTGGGCTATATTTGAAAGTGAATATCGTGGATACTATTTACAATGCACTTCATGCTCCCATTGCCCCATTAAGTGGGGATTACTATTGACACTTATGTACTATAGATGTACGCCCTCATAGCAGGAATAAAACAACTAAAGATACGGAATTTAGCTGTTTTGCTTCAAAAGCAGGGTTGGACTCCCTACACAAAGACACGTGCTAGGTAGCTATGAAGAAGCTGTCAGAATCCAAAGCAAGGCGGCTGTCGGGATCCAAAGCAAACATGTGAAATGCAGTCAATGCTTCAGACTGGAGAGGAAAAATGCTTAGCTCTGGGTGTGCAGGTCGCAGCCTAGTTTTAATGGGCACTTCTCCAGC